TTTCAATTGATATATTTTTATTTATATTCTCTCTGTTTGGTGCTAATTATAATAATATAATGTGAAAAAAAAAATTGTGTAGAATTTATGTAGTTGCCCAACAAACTAACCTATTAAAATCATGCGCTTAAAGGGAAACTTTTGCAAAAGGTATTAAAGTATCTTTTGCACCGAAAAATCTTTTTTGTTTTTGTTGTTAAATCTGCATTAATTTTTTGTATATTATATTTTTGTATATACATATATACAAGTAGTTATGTACACATGCGTACTTATCTGATTGTATGTTGAATATTATTTTTTCCTATGAGCTTTCATTCAACCTTATCCGACTCTATGCAGCTCTTTCTAAGTTTCTATTAACGCTATCTTATTTAGAAATATATTTATTTACTGTTTTCTGTTTATAAAACTATTGTGAGTACACAATAAGAATATGTCTGTATTATATTCATTGAAAATACATACACACAGATATGAAAGGTTAGAGGCTTCATTTCACCCCAGCTTATTGTGAGAAATTGCAATATATATATTTAGTTTATAAAAAATATATAAATAGATATATATTAAATCATAAGCGCGCAGAAATATTATAAATACACGTAGCGCAGAGTTTGGCGGTATTTATACCATACTTATATATAAACAGACTGAATTTCAAATAAACGCACCAATATATCTTTACGATTAAAACACATGCAAAATAAAATACGCGATGCACACACACACACATTAATTGCAAAAATAAAACGATATCACCCTTTATTTCAAGCTATAACGTAGAAGTATGTTTTTATTATAATTTCAGACAGATAAACATAAATATATGTACATACATACTTACATGCGGACATTCTTGTACAGTAATAGGCAGGAAATTAAACTGTGCCATAAAAATTACAAAATTCCTTTCCATTCGTCTTATGAATAATCCCGTCCTTCACCACAAAACCTTAAACTGTATATTCATTTGATTAATGGTAATAACTTAGTTATGCCAAATAGTGCGTACACTGCTAACCTTACTCTTTATATGCCTTAATTTCTTAGGCTATTGTTTATTATTAGAAAGCGTTTGTGTTTTTGTGTTTTCGTTTCATTTGATTTTGCCTACATTTCGCTATTGTTAAGGAACTCGAGTGGAAACCAAATCAATTTCTTGTATTAACTATTTACCATATACATAGTATATTGTATATTGTGTAATAATTCGTTTAATGTATATTATGTACATATATACATAACTGTAAACAATGAGAAGAAAGTGTAATAAACGTTAATAATGTGCATTTATGCCAAATAAAGATATATAAAGTTTATTCAAATACATTTACATAATGTAATATAAATAAGAATTCACAAGTTAAACAAATAAAATAATATTTGCTAATTAAATACATTTATTAATAAAGTTTCGTAAATTGCATTTAGTATATAATTTTGTAAACATCAACGTTAAGCTTTATAAGACAAATATTCTCACATTTACTTAGTTAAATTATCATATTTTACAAGCATATTACACAAGTTGCCGAAATATCATCGATATTCATTGATAAATTGTATTGTACTCAAACGCATACATTGCGTATACGCAACATTTATTGAGATCAATGCAAGCAGCAGGTAGTTATAGCACGCGTTGCGTACAAAGCACATAGTTGCAGACATACTTACAGTCATAAAATACATTCTTCCCGCTAGATTACGAACGTTAAAACTTTTAATAATTCGATATTTGTTTATTTATATTTCTTTTATATTTATTTGTGTAATAAATATGTATGTGAACTAAACGTTTGCTGTTGGACGAAATTGCTCACTGATTGCGTCAATTTTTGATAGAAAATTATAATATACTATTGTATATACGATTTTACTAGAAACTTAACTTTACCTACAACCACACTAGCCGAAATTAGAATACTTGTCATATTAGTGGTGGAACAAGGCCAAATTTTTCGCTTAATATTTTAAGAATAATGCATAAAAGTAATAGAACTATAGTTAAGAAACTATACACTCTTAGTTCTAATGAAATATTTACCGATAATCACGTAGAGAAGGTATGCAATCATTATAGCGGATATATTTGGTTTGAACAATTTTTGACAGCCATTTTGTGCACTGATTTAAAACTTGTTCAGCTTAACATTATCCAATTTATAACTCTTTCCTGCTAACCTAAGTGAAGTAAATCAACAATTCCATAACATTACAATGAATGGACGTAGGCTTGTAGAACGTATCGCGTGCTAGTGAAAGCAATGTTCAATATTTTTTAAATTAATTTTACTTAATTTCAGGCTTTTGGTCTTTAGCAACAAACCACTTTCTTAACCACTTAAGAAGACTCACCTGCTTAATTTCAGTAAGGTAGATCATATATGGATATATATATATATATATGTGACCTGGTCTACATAAAGGGGCTTAGGTGTCAAAAAATCAATTTTTACTTTTTAGTTGATTCGGATGGAAGATGAGATGCTTTTTCAAGTGATAGAATCCAAAAAGTCATAACTTGTTTGAAAGATCCTAAACAATTGTTCCGCGTACTCTCGATCATTTCCCGTGGTATCAGTGTATGACATTTATTATTACAACAATMTTTTGACAGAAATTTTGTTACCAGCTCCTTCTCCTTTACTTCAACAACAGA